TGCAGGAGGGCAGTTGTATCAGCTTAATTTAAGGAAAAAAATCACAAATTAATCAAAGTCACAGTCTGGATTGGTATACGCATCCCAGGCATTACAGAAGACAGACTGGAGTGTATGAGTAAATCATAGGAAACGATAAGCTGCTATTAGGACCTAACAATTAAAAAACACTATTCAGAGATCTTTCGGACGCCGGGATGAATCACTGCCGTTCAACAGGAGTTTTGTGAAACCTCATCTAGGTTACCGTGACCAGTTCTCGCCAGCGATGTCAGGGCAAGGCGAGTTCAGACTAGACCAGGCGCAAAGGAGCGTGGGAAGACGAGCAGGGGACGGCAAAGCCTCCTCACCAGGGGATCTTCTTGTGCCTGGCTACGTGGCCGCACGCCGTAAATGCACCAACAGGACAGCCCAGAGGCAGCTGCTCAGCCAGCACGCGAAGCTGTCACAGGGAACAGCAGCTGAGCCGGTTCAGATGTTGAATAGGAACTCGCCGTCGGGACTGCTGAGGACGTGTATCAAAACAGAGGTGATTCCCATCAGAGGTTAATTTGAAGCTGAATACTCGCATCCCGATCTCACAAGGCTGGATGCAGTGGCTCTTTCGACAGCTTCACAGCCACCGCCAGCCGGCAGTGCCACAGGCCTCTGCCCGTCCTGCTGTCAGACACGGGCGGTCTCCGAGCACCACAGCCACGCCAGAAGCAGCTGCAGGCAAGTCACTTATGCAAAACCTCTGTTGTCATTGATACTTTATTTATAGGGATGATTTTACTATATTATTGCAAGTATAGCCTGTCTGTATCCCCAAAAGTTACGCTACTACACCCTATCCTGAAAAACCCACAACCGCACACCTAATGTAAGCACAGCTTAACCTGCTAAAACCCCATAGCAAGCCCCTCCATTTCCACAAGATGAAATGGATTCTGGGTGAAGTTCGGTTCAGCTGATGGCGGGACAACGACACACGCTTCACCCAAATCATTCTGCAAGCTCTCTGAAACAGAGGGGCCCTTCTCCCTTCCGCTGAGCTGGCAGTGACGTGTCATTCGCAACCAGCCAGCTCGCAGGGCTGCCTCCAGTATCCCACCTAGCTCAACGCGCCAAGTTCCGCTCTTTTCAGTCAGGTTCCCTACGACCTTTCCATTTATACCCTTAAAAAGTAAACTGAGAATAAGAACGGAAAGATAAAAGCACCTCAGCCTTTAACCACTACAAACTCTGTGCTGTAACTTCACTTTCAGGGTTGTTTTTAACCAGTATACCCACACTTTCATCGAACGGTTTACGATACAGAGCGCTGCCACGTTGCTGCCCTTCTAATCGCAAGCTCACCCTGCTTCTAGTTCACAGACCTTGTCTGCAAGTCAGTGTAGTGATCCCACTGCCCTGACTGAACCTGCTCACCCTCGCAGGCATTTATTAGAGCACGGTCATAAAGAGAGGGATGAGCTGAAACAGCCTTTCGCTGATCGTCAGCCTCCTCCTTTCCAGAACTCTTCAGCTAACAAGGCAGCTCTATTTTTTCACTGCCCTTCGCAGAGCATGCGTGAGGACAGATGACCATGCTACTGAGGGCTAGCTACTAAGATTTATTTTCCAGAATTCATGTTCCGATTCTACTCTGACAACTTCAGCGAGAGCTGATGGAAGACGTGAATGGAGATCAGTCTCAGGACGTAGGAGAGTTAACTAGAAACAAACCTACAGCTAGCAAAGCAAAAGCAGCTCTTCTCACTTCCTCACTTCCACTGATGTGCTGTTTCTTAACCTAAACACATTTAGAAATTACTAAGTGTTTTACAACATGCTGGACAAAAGTCAGTCTTGTCAGCCCTGCATAGCTGACCTAAATCACCCCCACGACACACACCCCTCCGGTGCGGCAGCTGCTAGTAGGTAGGTTTCAAACCAAAGACAGCACTAGATAAAAACACTGTATAATCAGAGATGATTACCTTATTTAAGTGTTGGCATAAAATTACAACTCTGATCAAAAAGTAACAAATATTGGTTGATTTCCTGTAGAATGCCACTTCAGAGAGACAGAAGCGTTTCCCATTTGCTTCCGTCCTCGCTCATGAAGAGAGCGCACCTTCAAACACCCCTGTCGAAGGAGACCTTTCGGAATAACTGCTCTCTCCCAGAACTTTTCAATGGAAGCTGAAGCTCTTCACTAGAAACTCACCGCCGTTTGTCTCGCTTCCCCCCTACGCTGAAAGGCCATACGTACTCAGCAACTACACGGAGGAACTCCATCAACTCAGAAAGCCATCGCTGGCAATTTACTCCACTAAGCTGACGGGAAGCCGACAG